CTAGAGCTGGTTACTTCATTAGGTTCTCTCATTGATTGAACCTCCTGCTGAAGTGATGCTGCAGCCTCCTCTGATAACTGCTGGTAATAGAACAAAATGAATTCTTATCACAGAGATTGGAAAGGCCATTAACCCTGGCCTCCAGTGCTTTTCAGACGTCATAGACAGGAAGCCGTGCAGTGCACGGGAGGGAAAAAAAGCGCCATGCTCTGTCTGAGCCGAGGTCATGTTGGCGGCTGTGTGTGAAATTTCCAGCCCTTTTGGCTCCTGTGTAGATGAAACGGCTACCTGGGCAGATGTTTATAATCATGTCTTGAATAAATATTGGATGGAGAATGATAAAAAAGGAGAGAGAGAAAGGAGCAAGGAGGGAGGGGGAAGAACGAAACGAGGAAGAATCTTTTTATATTATTTTCAAATACTAAAGTAAGCCTCCTTTCTCCGGATGCCTCAGGTGATCTGAATGGCACAGACACAAAAAGCTTTTTTGTGTACGATGCAGGTGTTTGGGGTTTGTCTGTAGAAACCTTTGAAGATGCATTCTTTAAAAGATTTAATGCTAGTTATTTGGAACCATTAATATCCCTTATGTGGGCGAGTGCAGAAACAGAAGTCTGCAGAAATGAAGGGGGAAATTTGTGTTGGTGCAGCAAAAGCAGAAGCTTTAATCTTCATCATGTTTTTTCATTTGATGGAGGTGATTAATGGTTTTGAGTGCATCATACATCACAGAGGAGCTGGTAGCATAGGAAAACTTTCTTGGATGAAAGTAACTGACAGCAACAAAAGACGTTTTCTGATTGCTGATGCATAGGTGTACTGCAGTGGAAGTGTGCTTGCTTCAGAGAAAAGCCATTGATAGTGACCATATTAAGTAATGTTTTTTTTTGTTTTAGCAAGACAAGGAATAAAGATTTTAAAAACATTCTTAAGCATTTAGGCTAGTCAAAAATTCTATATGAAATATTCTTTGCATTATTAGCAAACAAGTGCTAAAGGACCACTGTTATACATGGTTTGGCATCTTGCTTGATGTTCTTACAAGTGGGCTGTATGCAGTGAAATTCAAGAAGAAATTCTAAAGGAATTAGGATTTTAAAAATTAATTACTATAAAAAGAGCATTATTCACCAATTATCGCAAAATCTTTAGGTTAATATACAATTTACTTGGGCGTCTCCACAGATCCCTGCAGCAGCTGAGTTTGTGTGAATGTGCAGAGCAGCTTTCTTGTGTCTCCCAGCAGCAGCAGCAGCGCCGTGAAGGGAAACGGGTCCGCTCTCTGCGTGGATGTTTAGTATTTTAGACATGGTACATTAACGGCATCTGGTTAAGATCTAAATGCTTGTTAAATACACTGAAATTTGGAAAAAGAAAGGAGCAAGAAAAAAGATTTGAGTAGGGGGGGGACGGTGGATCAACAAGTCAGTAAAGCTTATTATCCTGAAAGTATTACAACTGGCCCTTAACAAAGTAGTACAGGGTTTCGAGTTTCAAAGATTCCTTTAAAACGGAGTGGCTCAAATGAAAACCATGGGGGGAAAGAATGTGACATCATGAAAACCGTGGGCAGCTCAGAGCCAACCTGTGGTGTGCATGGAAATTAGTGTTCCTTACACCTCAACAAGACGAGACAGTCCAGAAATCATAATTACAACCAGATTGCTTTTTCACCAACATTAAGATCAGTAAAATTATAAGAAATGACAATCATACAAAGAACTATTATTATTATTATGAATAATAACAATAATAGTTCCGTTGTTTAAAATTAATAGTTATTATATTATGATTTAATTAAAAATAAAAAAAAATGAAAAATTATAAGTTTGCAAAAATGCAATCTGGTTGTAATTAGTTTTAAAAATTGTATTTAAAGTAATGCTAACATTTATTATAGCCTAGCTTCACTAAGCTCGTTATTCTTTGTTGAGAACCATAAAAAAGGCATGAGTCTTAAGGTGGAGGTGGGGGACACATTTTAACGAGCACAATCATTTTTGGGGGTATCCACGGTTGTGTACGGTGGGTGTCTGTTTTACTGGCCGGATAATGACCGGACTGAGGTGTTATAGTTCCCAAGAGGAGAGAGAGGGAGCAGCCTGCCCTCCACGTCCGTCATTACGCTCTCTCTATACCGGACAGGCCCGGCACTTTAATGAAAAGAAAGTGTCGGCCGCCATATTTATAAATTTCAATGGATTCCTTTTCTGTTTTTTTTTTTTGTAGGTATGGTAGTTGTGCAAAGGGAACCGGTGCATTTTGATGAGGCCAAAACACAGCATTGCTTTAATTGCGACACCTTCTTGACCCCAGTCTCCCTCCAGCGTGCCGATCATCCCACGTCAGAGCAGGTCTCGCGGGAGACTGGCGAACAGAGAGCCGTCGGAGATGTGTGGCTGATGTGTTTGCGGGTTTTGCTTGAAAGGGATGGTGGGGCAGTAAAAGTTGTCTATGGCTCTGCTGTTTGCGATTAAGTTTGATGGGCAGAAAGTCTGCCGAACCCCCCTTGTACCGCTCCAATGCTGCTGACACGCTGCCTCTGTAAAGCATTCAGATTACTCAAACTGTTGCCAGGGTCAGGCGCGGGGCAGACACCACTATGATGTATAGGAAAGCATGTCTGGGAGTTTCTCTCGCTCTTGAAATGCATACCAGAAAAACTGCAGAACACCCTGCTAAAAGACGAGGGAGAGTGAGAAGGACAGTGGAAGGAAAGAGAGAGAAAAAATGCCGTGTGATGAGACCCAGATCCCTTATTCCTTCTGTTACTACCTTCATAATTCGCCCTTTTCTTTTTCATGACACTCCATGTTTTATTAATGCATTCCACGATTGCCTTAAAAATTTGATGCCCCCTCGAGGTAGAGACACTCACTAGCACTTTGACACTTCATTTCCCAGCTAAGGGGACTGGGTCAGTAAATCTAGCCGACTGAAGAGAGCGCCTCACACTGAGGACGTGCGCTGCAGGAGGGAGGAGGAGAAGGGGTGAAAGAAGGGGAAGGTGCCACAGCCTGGCCCCTGTACCCTTAGGGTGTGACATTGTGCTGTGGTGTTTGTGTATGAGCGTGTGTGTGTGTGGGTGTTTGTGTGTCTCTTTTATTAACCGACCTGAAATCTGGTCCTGATCACAGACATCCAGCTGGTCTTAACCCCCATCTGCCTTCTGAGGCAAAACTCTCTCTCTCTCTCTCTCTCTGATTAGCCCTCTGTCCTGACACTGGCGTAAGCTCTGTCCAGAGCCCCTTTACCCCACAATACCGCTCTCCCCCACAACACTCACCCCCAGTCCTGCCTCGACTGCAAAAGAAAGTGAGGCACAGAGAATGAGAAACAATGTTATGTACATATTTTATGCAATCAAATGTATAACTATGAAGTGTAGCTTAGTGGTATGTTACATTTAAATTGTTTTTAATGACAGTATTTTTAATATTATTTTATTGACTTATAATTTTTTAATTAAACATCAAGATATTTGGGGTTAAATAAATATATGTCTAATTATTACAGTATTGGGGCTGTCAGTTGATTCAAATTGCAATCAAATTCATTATATGATTAGCTAATTAATTGTGTTTTCTAATTATATTTAATATTTTGTGGCAAACAGAAACATTAAATAGACAACAATAAGAGCAACAACAATTAGAAATCAATATATTGTTTGTTTCATGTCATTGATGCCTATAACTTGCCTACACTTTTCGAAGACATACATATATATATGACTTTGCAGAAATATGTATGTCCTCGAAAAGTGTAGGCAAGTTATAGGCATCAATGACATGAAACAAAAGCACAAACGCTGCAATTTATGCCATTTATTTTTGTAGAAATGTGGCATGTACATCTAAAGATACCCCCTAACTGTCTTACATACACACACATGCATACACACTCACAGACAGTGCCTTTGTTGCAGGATGTATTAGAGCACACCATCACCGCATGTGCACCAAAATAGCAATTTTTTGCAGCCGGCTGCCAGCAGTGACAGGAGATATTTCATCCTGTTGTCAGAATATTATTAATAAAACATCAGGACTAGAGTGCAGCACAATTTTTCCTTTCAATCACTCCCAGCATCTGCCATGAAAATTTCATGCTGTATATAATTTCCACTTAATGTATTGCACTTAAAACGTCTGTGCCAGCACCGTGTGGGGAGTTTTAAAGGGTTAATCATATCATGTATCTGCAGAGTTGGGGCCCCTCTGCTTACCAAACAATGACTTGAGTGATTGTATGCATATATACCGGTGACCTTTTTGCCTCCCCGTGGTCAATTTATATGGTTATTAAGGTTTTATAAAATGGATGAGCGCAGCACTTTGAACGCCATTTTCCCGCCTCATGTTGTCCTAATTTATTTAATTTCTCGTGGGGTCTTCCGAAATATGTTTATTTCTCCCCCTCGCTCTCGCTTTCTGTCTCTCTCTCTCTCTCTCTCTTTCTTTCTTCCCCCGTCATGTGCTGTGTGATGGAAGCTGCATGGGGTGGAGGGGGAAAGACAGGAGTGGTTATCTGGCATTACTCAGCCTGCTAAAAATTCATTAAAATGTGACATCAGCGCAGTGAGAGACAAATGCTCTCTGGATGAAAGGGAACAGTAGGCCTTTCAGGGATTAGAGGCGCACGGCCTCGACCTATCACCTAACAGCATAAACAGATTAATCCACTGGCAGTGCTGCAAAGATACACAGAATTATTAAACACGAGGGGGGGCGGGGGTGGTTGAGCCTACAGAAAAATTTCCATGTAATCTGCACAGTGCTAACAATCTGGAGAGGTGTGTGAAGAACATTCATATTTCAGAGTGTCCCGGGTTTAATGAAACCAGACGGACCCCCCTGCATCAGTGTCTTGTGGTATATTTTGTATATATATATAATATATATATATATACACGCACACACATACACGGCAGACAATTCAAAAGCAGTCGCCCTAACCTCTAGTGGGTAACCAAGTGCCCTTCCTGTGTTCAATTGTAGAAGAACCAGGTGAAGACAGTGAGGAATCCCCACGAGCCTCCTCATTGGCCGCGGCCGAGGACAAAGACTCGAGCAAGAGGGACGCCATGGAAGGCAACATAACAGAGAAGGACTCCAGTAAGACCTTTAGTTTTGGTCTTTTTTCCCCTGGTACCCTCCCCAGTGTCGCTTAGTACTAACACACTGCTCTTACCTGTTTTGCTCTTCTGTTCTCTTCCAATGGGGCTTTTCCTGCTAATAACAGCTGCATGTGTGGGTTGCATGTGAATGCTATCAGTAGCCTCCCGCTGACCTATTTTAATGATAGCCATCTGATGGCAGAGATGTGGATAAAGGCAAAGAATATTCCGCAGTGACCACCGAGATTATTTTTTTAATCAAATCAGTTTGTGCGCTTGTAATTTTTAAGCGCCTTTCATTAATCTTTGCTGTTCTTGCAATTTCTCTGATGACATACTAATTTTGTATAAGCATAGGATTAGATAGCGTTCAAGTGTGTAGTTTTGTAACCTTTTTTCCCTTCTTATTTAATTCAAGCAACGCACCACCTTTCAGAGCTCATTGTCCTCGATCTGCGGATCTGCGTACACGTCTGACTGGTAGCACATTAGCAAGGGCAACAATCCTTACAAAACAGCATTGTGTTGAGATCAGGAAACAGCCCCTGGAGCTAGCATCTGGCATCACTACCTAAGGCTCTGTTATATTTGATTTGCCAAATAAGGATTCATATGTGCGTTTTTATGTATGAGATGGAAATATATGGTCAAAATGAATATTACATTAGTCGTCTTTTCATGCACACAATACCTAGCAACATAATGTTGGGTTCAATGGAGCAGAGGAAATGCTGAAACAGGACAGAGCCTATTAGTTTAGCCAGTCATTTATCTTTTATCCATATAGCCATGACAGGCTTGTCTGAGGCAGCTCGTACTCAATGCATTTACATGACCTATTACATGCAGTGTCATTTAACGCTGCGGTCGAGATGCAGATTCTACTTAAACTAGTGTTCTTAAACCTTAATGTGAATATATGCATAATAGCTTTTGCATTGCGATAGTTTGTTTTCTTTTTTCAAGGCTGCAGTATTTAAATTGAAATTAGAAAATATCCGTCCCAAAATGGCTGTTTTTTTCTAATCCATTACTTTGAGGAGCAGTCAGAATGGGTTTTAGGGGTTGCTCTGTTGAACCCATATGTTAAATGTGTTTTTGGGCCAAAGGAATAAATCCCTAATGTGGGTTTGAATATAAAACACCAGACTCCTGCATATTAAAGATTATACTTCGAGATATTCACAATATTCATCTTCACATGCAGCATCTCTCAAAACAGCCCATTTTGTCATTTTAATCTAGTGTCATTGTGGATTAATTATAATCCAAATTGCATTTTCCATGCAAATGTCTTAGTCTGGATCAACTCCAGATTACTTTGTGCTCTGTTTAGATGTATCATGGAAGCATGTCAGTGTGTTGGCTTTAGGGTAGGGCTGCACGATTAATCGCATGCGATATTTAACGCGCATCTTATCAGTAAAGCCGATTCTGTAATCATGTCAATGCTCGTCAGTGAACAACGGCTCTGTGTAGTTAATGCTGCTCGATGTGAAAGCACGCAGGTGATAGAGATTTACCGCTGATTACAGAATCGGCTTTACTGATAAGATGCGCGTTAAATATCGCATGCGATTAATCGTGCAGCCCTACTTTAGGGTAAAAGGATAATTCAGCAAACACAAGCAAAGATGAAAATTAGCTGTCATTATTGCTAAGAACATTTTCTGCATACCTGCTGTAAATTAGCAGGGAAATTAAATATTGTTTTTAAATCAGCTCCTTATGAGATTTAAAATAATGCAGCTGATTTAAATAAAATGCAAGACAGATCAAATTCTGCATAGTTAGCATTAGCATTTGCATGTTTCCAGCTCTGAAATGAGCATTTATTCAATTTCTGCCTTTCCAGATATTTGATTAAAATAAATTAAAAGTATTTGCATATTTCATTGAAGCCCTACAGCTATTATTTCTGTTACTGACTTAATCAATTCAGAGAGTCCTGTAGGATTTGCCAAATATGACATTCGTCGGTTTACGCCTCTGAAGTGCGATGGCAAAGCTGATGGACTCAGATTATTTTTTGCGAGAGCACAGAGAAAGTGGGGCTGCACTGTGCAAGCTGAGAATTTAGAGTGTGGTATTCAAATGCTATCTGCTGAACTGTAGGTTACTCTAATGCGTAACCTTAACCTCTTGTCCTTGTAAATCACTAAAGTTCTCGGAGCGTCTCTGGGTCCTGCTTTATTTATTGCCCTGTCACCTCAGCCAGACTGGCTGGACTGAAGACCAGTAAATTGAATAGTAAATTTATGATGCCTTAATCAAGCAAGTCCTGTGTAATTGGCATTTGCAGGGGAAAGAAATTTTGAAATAAAATAGTTTGTCATATACAAGTGCACAGTACTATTTTGCAGAGCTTTCAAAGTGAGGCTGTGCTGTTTTTGTTAATATGAAATTTTAGTCGTGTTAGGTTTAGGGCTGTGTATCACCAGCAAAGTCACGATACGATACGTATCACGATACAGATGCCACGATACGATACGTATCACGATACACGTTGTAAAATTTTAAACAAATTAAGCGCGGTCCACTGCTGCACACGTGCCACAATATCGATACAGGGCCAGCTGTATCGATACTCGTATCGGCAAATCTCTGACGATACATCGTCGTATCGATATTTTGAACACAGCACTAGTTAGGTTGCACTTTGAGATATAAAATGGAGAAAATCAAACATTGAAAATTAACAGGACTAAAAATGGCCTCTCTCTTAGTGAGGAACATCAGATAGATAACATTAGCATGGTTTTTGTTGTTTTTTCTTTTCAGTTTGGTTGAATTATCAGAGGTGTTTAAAGAAGCCTTGCGTAGGTTGCATGATTGTAAAAATCCCATTGACAGTTGTAAATAAAGATGGGTGGCCAGTCTGCGGCTCTGGTCCCTGTAATGCAAACAACTTGACTGTCATAAATCACTGTTTGATTTATCTAATCAAGCAAGGTCCTGCTTCTCAAAGACATTTGTCATTCGGATGAGATGGGAGCTGTGGTGTCACAATTATTTTCTCTATTGCTTCAATGCACTGTGTTTCTGTAGACAAAGAAAAAGGCATTCTCATTTAGTGTGAGGTACAGACTACACAAAGAGTCTAGCCAGTCTTGACACAATATTACATGAACATAAAGACTATTGTGTGTAGATATGATAAAATACACACACGCACACACACACACACACACACACACATATATATATATATATATATATATATATATATATGCCATCTTTATAATTTTTTAATAGTTAATTTAACTGACAACTGAGCAAAGCCTTATGCACAGCAAAGGCATTTCATACTTTTTCTTTCCTCATTTTCTGTCCCTATTTCTTTTCTGACAGTCTAGTGTGTCCATCTGCAAAGGACTTTAAATGTGTTGATTTTAGGACTTTGTGAGTGTTGATTAAGAAAATAAATCATATAGATGGATCCTCATATAAAGCAGATTAGCCCCCAGACCATACATTTATATTCAATATGATGGCAATCAATGGAAGGGGCATTGCACTGTGAAATGTATTTGCACCCGCTTGTCCAGGAGTCGCCTCCTCACCCGGGAAATAATTTAGTTGCAGATTGACTGGAAGATGGCGAAAATTGAAAGTTAAAATTAGAAATCCTCGTAATAAACTGAGGGAGGAGAAAAAAGGTCAGATGATGCGGTACAGCAATGAGATTGGGGAGCCTCACAAATGAGGTTTTCTGTTTGTCATGAAATGCATGTGACATCTCCCCCCCCCACCACCCCTAAACGCAGCAGGGATATCAAGGCCAAGAGAGAAAAAAAGATTACCTAGCTATTTGAGACTGCAGACCATACTCTTGATACTCTTGGAAATTTGTATTGTGCCCTTGTGGTTTTTCTCCTTCTTGTGTCACTTTCTTTGGCAGGCTAATATGTCAGGCTCCTGATATGTAAGACCACAATAAAATAAGCAGAATGCCTTGTAATGCCAAGGATTAAAATGCATGAACACGCAGCATATATTGAAATATACTTTAAATAAATGCAGAGCAGAAAAAATACTCTTTCCTTTGTTTACAACATCTTTTTCACCATCCATTTTCGATGACTGATTTGCTAAGCTTTGATTCATAAGAGTAATACACACATTTAGCCTAGAGTGACCAGATTAGAGCAAAGAAGAGCGAGCAGGGCTTTCTTTGTGCACTGCATATGCAGCGAGAGGATAAATTGCATTGACTGAGGAGGCTGGGACACTGTCTGTATCTGAGGATACAGGGGTAATAAAAGATTTATCACTCTGTGCAGCATACTCTAAATACAACTGGGGGCTGATTTGCTGAATTGAGCTCAGCTGAAATGGAAATAACATGGCAACCCCCTCTAATACAGAGTATGAGGCATGGATATTCAGAGGCATACTGGGAATGGTGATTTGGCTGTCTATACCCCCCAAATGAACTGCATAATGGTACCGTGACCTGCAATGCAATAACAATGAATTCAAACCTCTATTTATTTGTGAATATCTTAATTCGGTTGCTTTTGTGAATATAGTTTTTTTTTTCTCTAGTATTCATGTTCAAACTCAATGCGCACAATTTGTCTGTGTAGTTATTCAATTTAAATTCTTCTTTAATTTCTGCTTTTTGCTTTGTCTTATTAAATATATGATGTCCATTTCATTTGCTACATAATCTGAGTCTCACATAATGTGAGTCGCCCCAATAACCTTTTATCAGATCTCCATTCGTAACAATAAGCTTATGTTACCCAAATGTGCCGTCTTATTAAAGTGAGGGTCATTGTACCTCTGTCAGGAGATTTTCAGCATCAGGAGTCCAGAATAAGCTTGTGACAGAAGATATCCTATCTGTTTATTCACAGGAATTAATACACTGGCTAAGGAAACTCTGGGGACTGCTACAGCAGGGAAGCGGTCACTTCAGCAGGAGAAAGAAAATGACAATCCACCCAAGAGGCCCAAATCAGCTGAAGAGAGGACGCTGTCCAGTGAGCAGGTTAGTTACTTTGGTCTGTTTGCAAAAATGGGACTTAATAACAAGACTGAGCCATCTTTGTGTATAAATTCTTGGATTAGATTATATTCATTCACTTTTTTTTTCAATTATATTAAAAAGCACTGTCTGAGTGGTACAGGACTTAATGAACCATTTCTGAAAGGGCTATATTAAAACAGGCAGTGAGAAGTTTAAACTTACTTCATGCAATGAGAACCAAGCATAGTCTGAAATAACATACTTTGTAATTTTCTGATTAGAAATTCCAGACATTCATGTTAGTTCATTTACTTATTTACTTCATTAGGTTTTTAATTAAGTTACATGAACTGAAAACTAAAGTGAATTGGAGGAAATTTGATTTTATAGACATTTGGGGTCTTGTTTTGTTTGGAATTTGATTTCCTTAAGGCATCATGTAGCAGTGTCATTCATATATAGTCATATAGAGCAGTGCTGTAATGCATGGCAATGCTATGATGAACTCTGTCTTTTCAGGTGCAGCAGTGCCCATACTGTAATTACAGTAACAAGGATGCAAACCGTTTACAGCTGCACATCATGTCCCAGCATTCCATACAGCCGGTCATCAGCTGCCCCTTGTGTCAGGATATCCTCAGCAACAAGATTCATTTACAGCTGCATCTCACCCACCTCCATAGTGTGGCTCCAGACTGTGTGGAGAAGTTAATCATGACAGTATGTGCAGCATTCATTTCCTTTAAATACAAAAAAAGAAAGAAATACCTAAACTGTCAGCCTTACTAACTAGATCATACTCTGGCAGGGCTGGCAGGGAATAACTTGAATAAGCATTTCCCAGGCCTAGCGTATTCTCCAAAGAATGTTATAAACTTGAAAGTTCTCCTCCTATAAAATAAAAAAAGAGCAGTTTTGAAAGTCCCTATATCTCTAATTGATTTAAAGCTTAAAATTTTGAATAAATCTATTATTTTGGTAAATATTTGTGTTTATTGTTTATCTTATGTTTATTGAAATCTGTTAAGGGACTGATGTATTTTTTTTTTCTTCAGGTTGCAGGCCCAGATGTTACAGTGCCCAATTCCTTGCTGTCTGCATCATTACAAGACAAAGTCCCATCTTTGATGGATTCTTCAGCTGTTATCCCTGAGGGATCCGGAAAACCCATGGGTAAGCACATTTATGCAGCCACAGTGTCATCTGAAATGTATGAATGGCATTACAGAATATTCCTTAGAAAAGTTATAATAGTAGTCTTTTATAATGAAATGTTTTTGGAAGAATTCTGAAATCTTTCCTTTTTCTGAATTTCAACAGGAAACAGCTCTAAGGATTTGAAAAACAGTACAGGCCAAGACAAAAGTGAGGTTGAACTTGCCAATGAGGAACTCAAACCACCAAAGGAGGCTGCTGAGGCCCCTGACTGGAAGAAAGCGAGTGGTCAAGACAGGAAGAGCCCAGACTCCCTGCAGGAGCATCTTAGCGATCTGCAGAAGCGGCAGCAGCTCTCAGTCTCTGATCGCCACGTCTACAAATACCGCTGCAACCATTGCAGCCTGGCTTTCAAGACTATGCAGAAGCTTGAGATACATTCCCAGTACCATGCCATCCGTGCAGCCACCATGTGCAGTCTGTGCCAGCGCAGCTTCAGGACATTCCTTGCCCTCCGAAAGCATTTGGAGACTGGTCACCCTGAGCTGAGTGAAGCCGAAGTACAGCAACTCTGTGGAAACCTGCCCCTAAATGGTGACATTGCTGAAAGTGAGATGCGGGCTCTGGAAGAGGCACAAGTCTTTGAGAATGAGCTAGACAAAGATGAGGAACTTGACCAAGAAGGGAAGGCCAGTCCGACTGGAAGTGACAGCAGCTCCTTGCTTGATGACATGGGCTCAGAACCAAAGCGGACCTTGCCTTTTAGGAAAGGTCCAAATTTCACCATGGAAAAGTTTTTAGACCCCTCACGTCCATACAAATGCACAGTATGCAAGGAGTCATTCACCCAAAAAAGCATTCTCCTTGTTCACTACAATTCTGTCTCACATTTGCATAAGCTAAAGAAAGTTATCCAAGAGGCCTCAAGCCCAGTTCACCAGGAGACCATCAACAATGTTGACAACAAACCATACAAATGCAATATATGTAATGTTGCTTATAGCCAAAGCTCAACCCTGGAGATTCACATGAGGTCTGTACTTCATCAGACAAAAGCACGAACCGCCAAAATGGAGAGTAGTACTAGTTCTGGGGGTGGTAGCAGCAGAAGTACTACATCTAAAAGCCCTGTTCCACTAAATCAGGGAAATGCAGATTCTGCAAATGCACCAGTATCCTCTAACAAAGAAAACACTGTAGATGCCAAAGAAGTTACCACGAAACAAACTACTGATCACATCTCTGTGCAGCCTACCCACCCACCAACCCAGTCAACAGCACAGCTTCAGATGCAACTGCAGCACGAGCTCCAGCAGCAAGCTGCATTCTTTCAGCCACAGTTTCTGAACCCAGCTTTTTTCCCACATTTCCCAATGACACCAGAGGCCCTACTGCAATTCCAGCAGCCCCAGTTCCTCTTCCCATTCTACATCCCTGGTGCTGAATTTAACATCAGCCCTGAGCTTGCATTGCATTCAGCTGCATTTGGGATGCCTGGTATGACTGGATCATTCCTAGAAGATCTGAAGCAGCAGATGCAGCAACAACATCAGCTGGGCCAACAGCAACAGCTTCAGCTTTCTCAGCAGCAAGCTCGGCAGCAGGCCTCCCAGTCTCAAATGCAGCAGCAGAAAGCACAGCAGCAGAGTCACAAACCTAAAATTGAGTCCAACCACATTGTTCTGTCTGAGATTCAAATGTCCAGAGATGCTGAAGAGCACCTAGAAAAGCAGGAGAGCAAAGCAAAGCAGGATATAGCTAATGATATTGACAGTGCAAAAGACACTAAAGATTCCAGAAACCAGAAATTTTCAGAACCTCTAATTCCTCCGCCACGCATCATCTCAGGAGCTAGAGGTAATGCTGCTAAAGCACTGCTAGAGAACTTTGGCTTTGAATTAGTTATTCAGTACAATGAGAATAGACAGAAAACCCAGAAAAAGAATAGAGAGGAAGAGTTGACTGACAAACTGGAGTGTGGGCTGTGTGGAAAGTTCTTCTCCAACATGCTTATTCTCAAAAGCCATCAGGAACACGTGCATGGGCAGTTCTTTCCATATGTGGAGCTGGAGAAGTTTGCACAACAGTACAGGGAGGCATATGACAAGCTGTATCCCATAAACCCAGCATCTCCAGAAACACCTCCACCACCCCCTCCTCCTCCTCCTGCCCCAGTGACTGCTGTCCCTGCCACTACATCTGTAGGAAAATCGCAGACACCATCTCCTTCACCTCTACAAACTCCTCAGCAAGCGCCACCACCACCTCCTCCACCACCCACTGCACCTCCTCAAGTGCAGCTCCCTGTTTCTCTTGACCTGCCAATTTTCCCACCACTGATGATGCAATCAGTGCAGCACCCTGGGCTACCCCCACAGCTTGCGCTGCAGCTTCCAACAATGGACTCTTTATCTTCTGACCTCACACAGTTATGTCAACAACAACTGGGACTGGATCCAAACTTCCTGCGGCAGTCTCAGTTCAAGCGTCCTCGCACCAGAATCACAGACGATCAGCTACAAATCCTCCGTGCTCATTTTGACATCAATAATTCACCAAACGAAGAACAGATTCAAGAAATGGCAGAAAAATCTGGCCTTCCACAGAAAGTCATAAAGCACTGGTTCCGCAATACACTCTTCAAAGAACGTCAAAGAAGCAAAGATTCCCCTTACAATTTTAACATTCCACCCATGACCACACTGGAAGATATCAGACTTGAATCCCAAGTGAACATGCTAGAGTACTACAGAACTGATGCTACGATGAACAAAAGGTCATCAAGAACACGTTTCACAGATTATCAACTGCGAGTATTCCAAGATTTCTTTGATACCAATGCTTACCCCAAGGATGATGAAATTGAGCAGCTCTCAACGGTACTCAACCTGCCAACGCGAGTGATTGTGGTGTGGTTCCAAAATGCCCGTCAGAAGGCCCGCAAGAGCTATGAGAACCAAACAGATACAAAAGACAGCGAAAAGAAAGAACTAACAAATGAACGATACATTAGGACCAACAACATGCAGTACCAATGTAAGAAATGCAGTGTCATTTTCCCCCGAATTTTTGACCTCATTACTCACCAGAAGAAGCAATGCTACAAAGATGAGGATGATGAAGCTGGAGATGAAAACCACTCAGAGGAATTCACAGAGAACAATGAGCAAAGTTCAGCAAAGCCAACAGAGCCAGCTAAAAACTCTCTTGTGACAGCAAGCAGCTCTGGCTCCAGCTCTCCCTTGATGCCTTCACCTCGACCTGATGTAGGGAAATCCTCACCCAAACCTGAGCTCCTCCATGAAAAACCAAAATTGGGAGAGATTGCCCCTTTACAAACCCTCAAGAACCTAAATGAGTTAAAATCTTCCAAGGCTTCAACCCCACAGCCTCCACCACAAAAATTACCTCAACCACAAATGTCAAGACCCCATTCCCAACCCCAGTCTACGACTGTCCCATCAAGTCCTCTTTCAATTGCACTGTCCTCTCTTAACAGTAGCCTACCACCTCAAATGTTACAGTACCACTGCGATCAGTGCAAAATCGCTTTCCCAACAGTAGAGCTGTGGCAGGAGCACCAGCACTTGCATTTTCTGGCTGCCCAAAACCAATTCCTACACTCACAATTTTTAGAAAGGCCTCTGGATATGCCCTATATGATCTTTGATCCAAATAACCCTCTTATGACCGGTCAACTCCTGTCTGGAGCCCTATCCCAGATGCCAACTCCAAGCAACTCTGGCCTTGCTGTGAACTCTAACTCTGTGAAACGTAAATTAGATGAAAAAGAGGATGGATCTCATGAAAAAGATGGTGTTAACAGTGCAGAAGATCAGCACAGAGATAAACGACTTAGGACTACCATTACTCCAGAGCAACTTGAGATCTTGTATGAAAAATATTTACTTGATTCAAACCCAACAAGAAAGATGTTAGATCATATTGCTCGTGAAGTTGGCCTGAAGAAAAGAGTTGTCCAAGTATGGTTTCAGAACACCCGAGCTAGAGAGAGGAAGGGACAATTTAGAACAGTTGGGCCCTCTCAAACTCACAAAAAGTGTCTCTTCTGCAGAGCATTGTTCAAGGCAAAGTCAGCTCTTGATAGCCACATTCGCTCAAGACACTGGCATGAGGCAAAACAGGCAGGCTTTAGTTTGCCCCCAAGTCCAATGATGCCTCAAGATGAAGGAGGACAAAGTCCCAATAAGTATAATTTTGCTGACTACCTACAGATGCCCACAAAGACTGAGATGAATGACAGTGAGCCTCCAACTTCATCTTCCACTCCAGTTAGATTTTTTGAGATGCCACTAAAACATTTATTAAGTTTATCATCCGTAAAAACAGAACATAGTGATGAACTTGAGGGGCTTAACATAAGTTCTGCAGATGCCTCTTTTGATGCCAACAAAATGGACTTTGATGAGACCTCCTCAATTAACACAGCTGTGAGTGATGCCTCTACTGGAGATGAGACCAATAATGAAGTTGAGAATCTAACAGTAAATGGAAGTGAAAAAATAACTGAGAACAAAATAAACCAAGCACAAATCTTTGACTTAAATGAGGATAGAATCCCTTTCAACATGGTTAGCCCATCATTAAGTTTCTCTGGCAAAGACAGTGACTACTTCAATTCCAGAGATGATGAATTCGATGATAATGCAGACAAGAGTGAGACTTCAAGTTTGGCTGATCCAAGTTCACCCAGTCCATTTGGAGGTACCAATCCCTTCAAGTCTGCAAAAGCTGGTGAAGAGAGACCAGGCCACAGACGTTTTAGAACCCAAATGAGCAACCTACAGCTTAAAGTCCTAAAGGCTTGCTTCAGTGACTACCGCACACCTACTATGCATGAGTGTGAAATGCTGGGCAATACGATAGGACTCCCGAAACGTGTTGTGCAAGTCTGGTTCCAGAATGCCCGTGCAAAAGAAAAGAAGTTCAAAATAAACATTGGAAAGCCATTCATGATAAGCCAGGGCTCCCCAGATGGGCCAAGGCCTGAGTGTACATTATGTGGCGTGAAGTATACAGCCAGACTTTCGATTCGCGATCATATCTTTTCGAAGCAGCACATTGCAAAAGTGCAGGAAACCCTGGGCAACCAGGTTAATCGAGAAAAAGACTATCTTGCACCTACCACTGTCCGCCAGCTTATGGCTCAACAAGAACATGACCGCTTGAAGAAGGCAACTGACGTACTCAACTTGCCAGCCCAGCAGCAACCTGCAGTGGACAATAATGCACTTCATGGCCTTAGCCTGCCAACTGCCTACCCAGGAATATCTGGTCTCCCACCAGTGCTTCTTCCTGGAGTCAATGGGCCATCCTCCCTTCCAGGTTTTCCACCAAATACACCTGGTGAGTTATTATGACAAACACAGTGCAGTAGCTTAATGAACAGTTAATGCATTAAATGCTACTGTCCCATTTGCTTCCTTTGATGGACTGTGACATTCACTGATTCATAGACTTTTAATGCATGCATTCACTGTAACAGTGTGGAATATTTCTAGTTTGACTGTGACCCCTAAAAGTTCAGTTGATTTCATGCCTGTGCTTGTTTTCATGGTTTCATCTTTCCTTTCTTTTTGTTGTATCCTTCTTTTGATAAAGTGCTTGTAACAGTTTGGATCCATAACAGAGGAATAGCCCCAAAATAATGTCTAGCAAAGTTGAGGAGTGATTTTTCAGTCAAATATTTCAATAGTATCTATACCACTGTATTTCAGCTTTGGCGTCTCCTGGTGCTGGCATGCTTGGGTTCCCTACTCCAGCCACCCCTTCTCCTGCCATGTCTCTCAGCAGTACCCCAACCAAGACTCTTCTTCAGACACCTCCTCCTCCTCCTCAACCCACCGCACTTCCTCTTCCTCCCACTCCTTTGGCAGCAAATCAGACTGAGCAGCACATAAAAGAATCAGAGAAAGACAAGAAGTTAGAGAAGCCCAAGGTGAAAGAAAGAGAAGCCGACACTGCCCGTCCCAAGACCCCAATTGTGAAAAAAAGGGAAAAGCCCTCGCCACCACTTTCAGTGCTAGGAAAATTGGGAAGTGAGGCATATATGGACCCAGCACAACTGCAAGCACTTCAGAATGCCATTGCTGGTGACCCAGGCTCCTTCCTAGGGGGACAGTTCTTGCCTTATTTCATCCCTGGCTTTGCATCTTGCTTCTCACCCCAACTTCCTGGCGGAGTGCAGGGGGGATACTTCCCTCCTCTGTGTGGAATGGAAAACCTGTTCCCCTACGGCCCTGCAATGCCGCAGGCTATCGCTGGGCTTTCTCCAACTGCCCTGCTGCAGCAGTACCAACAGTACCAGCAGTCCCTCCAGGATTCCTTACAGAAGCAGCATCAGCAGCAGAAGCAAAGTGAACCGCAACAGAAAACACCCCCTATAAAGTCAACGAGTGCACAGAGCAACTCTCACAAACCAAAAGAGGCTATTGAAACTAAGAATGATAAAGGCTCTTCAACAGAAAGCACAAATGAAGAACCCCAAACGAATACCAAAAGTTCAGGCTTTCCAGATGCATTTATCGTTCCGTCCATCAAACACGAGTTTATATGCAGAAAGTGCCAGATGATTTTTGCTGATGAAGACTCAGCAGCTCGCCACCAGAAGTCCTTCTGTTACTTTGGTCACCCGTTTATCGATCCGCAAGAGACAGTGCTTCGTAAGGCCGTGAGCAAGTACAATTGCATAGCCTGCAATGTGTCCGTCAGCGGGAACGAAGCACTTGGCCAACACCTTCAGTCGAGCTTGCACAAAGAGAAAACAATCAAACAAGCAATGAGAAATGCCAAAGAGCATGCTAGCTGTTACGGTACTTGCTTGTGTCTGGACTATAGTGCACTTATTGATTTCATTTTTGATTATTTGAGGTAGGCCATGTCTTAATTTAATAGATATCAGTTTTCTGTGTTTGTTTGTTTGTTCATTTGTTTTAATTATTATTCGTGTGTAGTTCAGCAGCAGATTGGTCCACATTTGTTTCACACCTAACAATCCAGAGACATGTAACAATTGGTGCATCCATGAAAGTAGTACTGTATACTTGAAAAAGTGCAAGTTGGACAAAATGTGTTGAAAAATTGTATGAACATTTGCTTCTTTTAAACAAGAAAGCTGCTTTTAAAAAGGGGGACAAAGCATTTGTTTTACAAAAAGATTTTTTATTTTTTTCTCCTGTACTTCTGTAGGACTGAACACAGTGTTAAACCTATACATTGCCATATAGTGGTTAGGCTGTTTCTTCCATTCTACTCTGGGCACTTCTGTTCATGTCATGAACATAGATCATTTTCCATCAATTTTAGTGATACTTGGATTACAAAGTATTATCTTATGACGTTATGCTGCTACTGTGTAATGTTTTTGTTTTTATTTTTTAATCGCTTGCCATAAATTTCAGCGTCCTACTAGACAGAATACTGATTCATCATGAATTACATTGTTTTACTCATTTTCTTTCATTTTTTTGTCTGTGTAACTTAAAGAATGTGAACGCTGTCAAGGGTGTTTAATTTTTACGAATCACTTTCTGGTTTGATACAGTTGGACAATGTGATTCATTCCAAAGTAACAGAAGGCTTAATGTATGAAAGTAAAATGCTCGTGAACAAAGAAAGTTAAGCTGTTGTACATATTCGTAGTTGGCTTATTACCTCACTCAGTCTGCTCCCCCTGTCCTAACACCACATCTACCTCGCAGTCTGCAGCTTCTTCTAATAACCCCTTGCCTCATCTCTCTCACTTGTCCAAGAAGTCCTGGCCAAATATTCTTTTCCAGGCCTCAGCCAGGAAAGCTGCTTCCTGCCCATCTGCTTCCCCTCCTCCCCTTTCCTTGCCTTCAACGGTTACCTCAACTTCGTGCAGCACCTCAGGGGTTCAAACCTCACTACCCACCGAAAGTTGTTCAGATGAGTCTGACAGTGAGTTAAGCCAGAAGCTGGATGACTTAGATAACGCGTTGGAAGTCAAGGCTAAGGCGGCAACCGGCCTAGATGGCAATTTCAGTAGTATCAGAATGGATATGTTCAGTGTGTAGGTTTGAAAAACGGATCCCTTGCTTAAACGAAAAAAGACTTTTAACTGCAGTTCCAAAGTTTCGCTAACCCAAAAAATTACAGTACCAAAAGATTGACTCAGGATTGTTTTTCCCATATTGATATGCTGGCAAGAAAATGATTGATTTTTATTGCTGTACAGGTGTTTTTTCTGTTTAAGGTAAAATGTCACCGTTTTTAATTCTCTTTTTTGTGGACTTTTTAATGTTCTTATTTGAATTTTTAATATTTTAACGCTTATTTTAATCCTGAAGACACTTTTTGATTGTGTTTCACAAGAGACATCTTTGCCTCCTAAGGTGCAATCCTGCCTCTGTCCAAAACATGAGCGACTGTCCTGATTCCAAAGGCTTTTAGAACTCGGCTTTTGCCTTTCGCTGAATGTGGAAAAGCATTTAGAGACTGAGCTGTCAGCTAGCACCGTGCGCTAAGGTGTTAGCCTGGACCAGAATGCTTCCCACACAAAGGACTGGTAAAGCAAAAAACAAAACAAAAAAACACAAAAACAAAGGATGGTCCAATAATGTAATTGTACATAAATGTTGCAACTGCACAGCAGCCAAAAAAAAACTTTCTACGGATGGATAGTGTCAAGCATAGGAGGACAACCTTCTAAAGGTTCAAATTAGGATTGTTCTTCTGGATATCAAAGGGATGATCAAGGCGTAATCATATTCTACACAATACGTACTTTCAACGCCTGGGTAACATAGGAAATGCACCCCAAGGTTTTAATAAAAAAGATGCCTCTATGGCAAAAACTTTAAATAAACTAAACCAAAAATGTTATTGATGTTTTATATAGAGAGAGTAGTCTCATTAGTTTTTGTTACTGTAATGTTTGAGGTCTCAGCTGTACCGTATTACGGTAATAACATGGTTTTGAAACTTTTTATTTTGTCACAGACCTGTTGTCATAGTTGAAATGACGTTTATTGTAGATGGTATTTGAACAACTTCTTCTGGAAATAGTTCATCAAGTATGTTTGTTGCTCATTGTTGTGATACATTAAAAACTGTATCTGCAAACCACTTCTAGGCCTGGCATCACTGTCTGTTTCTTTATGCTTTCACATACTTTGTGCATTTTAGCCATCAATACTATTGAATAACATCACAAGGAAAAGACACAAATTCGAGGAGCCCATCCATTCCATCCTTACCCTGAGCTCATGCTGCCAATGAGCAAGAGAAGAGGTCACATTATCCCTAAATCCACACTGAGAACATTTGTAATTTCACATGGTATGCCTTTACATGTTCTTTGGTTGTAATCTGGCTTTATCCAGATGCAATGGATTATCTCTAGAAGTGTCAATCTCAAGAGCCTTTCTGCAGGTATTTGTCTAAGCTTCTCCCCTGGAAGAGATAATAGATTATTCATCAATCTACCAAGCAGATCATCTGGCCGTGAGTTTTAACTGCTATTCAGCAGAGAAAAAAAGGACTTTGCATACTTTTCTTATAAATTGCTAGTCATTTTCAAAACTCGCACAGAAAAAATATAATTGCAGTAAATTGCATGTCAACTTGCTTTTAAAACAAACCAGACACAACTTGGTAAGATCTATCACATCTCATCCAGCAGTTCCTTTTCATGCTCCAACTGCGGCTAACTTTTCCCATTCCCATTAGTGACTAGAAAATGATTCTCTGAGGTATTTATCCCATTTTGGACATCTTTGATCAGCCTCTTGAGTCCAAAAAGCTTTTCTCAGCACATCCAAATTGTTTTTTTTTTTTGCCCATTTAACTTTTATTCTAACAGATGTTTCCCAAATCTGTTTTGCAACCCAGTGTTGAGGACACTTGGATGTCATTCCTGTTATTTTTCCTGTATCTTGCTGCTGCGTAGAGTGAGGGTCACACTATTCTGTGATTGGATAGGGTTTGACCTTTGGAAGAACAATAGCAGAAGGCATTTCGGTTCTGCCCTCTCCCCACACCTTCTCTCTATCTTTCCACAGTTGTTTGCTGACATTTAAGACTCAGGGACCAATCCCAGTAGCTCTGTACGTATCTTATGCCATGTGATCTTGGTGAATTGTTCTATTGTTTTGCTCTGGAATGAGAGAGGACTGATGTTAATCCACAGATTTGCACTAAAGAGTCCATCTGCCCTTGTAAAAGGTATTCGGTGCACATAATTGTCACCAAAACACTGTATTTTTAGTTATTTGAAAATGACCAAAATGACTTCAAATGCTTGGGAATTGATTATTTCATCAGCCAAAGAGACAAGTAAATCTGTCCATATGGGATGCTTGTCATTTAATGGTAGTATACATATTCAGTCAAAGAGATGCAGCTGATGTGTCGCATGCTAATGTTTATTGACACATTTATGGTTGACGTTTTCTCAAGCCATTTGTTGGGTGGGGACAGTAAACTGAATAAAAAGTGATTGGATCGTTGTCTCTCTTGCCACTGAAATCCCAAGTGTAGAATACTAATTCCTGTATTTGGTCCCTGAACTCAGGTCTTTCATTTTAAACAGATTCAATTATAATTAAATTCTGCACATGGGAATGTATCGTTCCTGCATGATCCCTAATTTACTGTGGCAAATATTATATTATCCCAAGAAAATGCATCAGTCCAGTATTTATATTTTTTTTATATTTTTATATTTATTTACATTGAAAATAAGCTTAGAAACATAATACACATCTGTATAAAATAATTTTTTAATAATGCTATTTTATCTTTTTTTTATGTATTTTACATTTTTTCCCTATAGATTTCTATTTTATGTCCTCCTTTAATCTTTCGTCTTTAAGTGTCCTCCTCTCACCGGTGATCACAAGAGCTATTTTAGTTTGTTCTTTGATTCATAAACTTGCTCTGTTCCCCACACCTGTGCTTCATTTACCATGTGCACCTGAGCAGTTCCACCAGATGTGTTCGAGACAAAATTGCTAATAATTTATGCTGGCCTGACTGTAGAGGCCTTGTATTAATAGAACATTTCTGCATTTGTGACACAGACATAGATCAGTTCTCTAATTCTAATTTGCATTCATCAGTAGTGCATTTGTTGTTTGACTCGAGCAGCTTTAAATTCAAAATATATTTTTTTCTAATAAACTTTTAGTTTTATTAAGTCACAAATGAATTAAAAGGTAACCTAATCCACATGGCGCAGTGGTTAGCAGCATGTTTGCAACAATATAGAGTTAGAGTTCATACAAGGTTGCAGGTTTGAATCCAAATCCCATTTCACTTCCACTCTCCCAATACGTTCTTGCCGCTCTATACTGTCCTGTCACATTAATGCAAAAAAAGGCCAGATGAATTTGAAGGATTACAGGTGATAAGAGAGATCTCATCGAGACTTAAACTTAAGTACAATGCATAATGTTTCTCCGCAACATCACACAGCAGACAAATATAGAGGAAAGCCGAAGGGATAAAAGAATTATTCCATTCTGAGAGTGAAATAAGCTCCTAACATTGCCAATATCCATGTAGGCAATGTGCTCAACAAACACAAATATCTAAGGAATGGGAGAATAAGGAGACCTGCGAGATATCTAAATAAGCCAGAGAGCTACACCTCTGAAACAAATGCTTGCAAAAAAGATGCTGTTTCAAACCGTCTGGGACTTCCCAAGCAGATTGTTCTGTTCTGTTTTCTGATTTGCTCAGAAAACCACACCTCCCAGATGGCTTGAGATGAAGGTTGGGAGACATTATTGCTTAAGAGATCAAACTAGTTGAATGATACCATCCCTCACAGAGAAATGTCTTATTTCCTTCTCCCAAACAAAACAATACTTCTCTGCTGATGTTCAGTGCATTTTAGTTAAGGCCATACATCAAAAGAAACACGGTGAATTGTTGAACACCTGAGGCATTGACGGTGTTTAAAGAACAGCGAGGTGTTTTGTAGATTTGATAACACAAAAGAAACACATCACGTTTTTTTTTTGTTGGCTTTCTGAATTGTGTGTAAAGTTCCAGTTTTTGCTACATAAAATCCCTGTGTTATGCTTCAGACTGCATGTATTTTCTTCCTCAAAGCTCTTTGAGTTTGAGCTTCCTCAAACTCTTCAGATTGCTGAATAGGAAAGCGGCTCTTATAACTTACAGCTTTTATGTTCCTTAAATCAACAAACGGTCGTGGATATTTCAGATGTGTAAGGCTGGGCATGCTGAAATAGCAGATGCTTTTTCAAACCCGTCAAACATAAAGTCGGTTTGAATTACGCAAAAACTCTTCGGGATACATAAGACAGTGAGATGCAAAAACAAATGTCCGTTTTTATATAATCATAACAATAGCAATGTAAACATCCACTAGAGATGAGTATTTGCTCATTTTATTTTGAGCATTTTGTTTACAAACCTTGCCTGTGACGTTTATGATGTCATAAATGTCTGGATGGTGAGTAAAGCAAAATATTACATTCAGATTTTTTGATTTGTTGTGCATGAATTGCTCTTTGTTCTGCTTTCATTATTTAGATGGACAGATCAAAGTTTAAAGGAATAGTTCACCCAAAAATGGAAATTTGCTGAAAATGTACTCATGTAAATGAGTTTGTCAAAACAGATTTGGAGACATTTAGCATTACATCAGTTGCTCACCGATGGATCCTCTGCAGTGAATGGGTGCCATCAGAACGAGAGTTCAAACAGCTGATAAAAACATCACAATAATCCACAATTAATTAATTTATATAACTCCAGTGTCCAGCCTAACAAGTCCATTCATCTACATCTTGGATGGCCTGAGGGTGAGTACATTTTCAGCAAGTTTTCGTTTTTGGGTGAACTATTCCTTTAAATGCACCAAAAATACAGCAGTATATTTATATATGCATATTTCTGCTATAAGCAAATAAATATGCATAAATGTGAAGTTTATTTGAAGTAAACCAAGTGCCAAGTAGTAGTGAGCAGTTCTTAAAGGGGTTATATGATGTGATATCAATTTTTCCTTTTTCTTTGGAATGTTACAAGCTCTTGGTGCATAAAGAAGATCTGTAAAGTTGCAAAGACTAAAGTCTCAAATCCAAAGAGATATTCTTTATAAAAGTTAAGAGTCATCCACGCCTACCTAAAACGGCTCATTCTAACACGCCCCCACATATCTATGTCACGATGTGGGAAGATTTGCAT